CCCCCTTCCTTCCCTCCCTCCCTCCCTCCCTCCTCCCTCCCTCCTCCCTCCTGATCTCCTCCTGCTCCTGCTCCCCCTTTTGCCCCTGCTCCCCCTCCCCCCCCCCCTCCTGCCTGCGCTGCTGGCGCCGCCGCCGCCTCTTCCTGTTCCCCCCCTCCTGCTCCCTCCCCCTTCTTCTGCTCATGCCCCGCCCTCCAACTCCTCCCTCCTCCTCCTGCTCCTGCTGCTGCTGCTGCTGCTCCTCTCCTCTCCTCCTCCTCCTCCTCTCCTCCTCCCTCTCCTCATCCTCATCCTCATCCTCATCATCCTCATCCTCTCTCCCTCCTTCTCCTCCCTCCTTCGTCCTCCCCCTCCCTCCTCCTCCCTGTTCATCCCTCCTCCGCCTCCTCCCTCCTCCTCCTCCTCTTCCTCCTTCCCCCCCTCCTCCTCCTGCTCCTGCTCCGCCTGCCCTTCGTCCTCCTCATCATCATGGATCCCTCCCTTCTCCCTCCTCCTCTCTCCCTCCTCCCCCCTCCCTCCGCCTCCCTCCACATCCCTTCTCGTCGGCGCTCATCTTTGCCTCGTCCTCCTCCAGAGGAGATGAGGCCGGCGTCGTCGTCGAAAGAACCAGCAGACAGACAGACGAAAGGGGAAGAGGTGGAGGAGGAGGAGGAGGAGGAGGAAGGAGGAGGAGATGGGAGGAGGGAGCAGTAGGAGGAGGACTGGCAAGAGAATGGGGGGCGTTAAGGGCGCATTGGGGAATGAGGGGGGGCGTAGGAGGAGGAGGAGGAGGAGGAGGAGGAGGAGGAGGAGGAGGAGGAGGAGGAGGAGGAGGAGGGGGAGGAGGAGGAGGAGGAGGAGGAGGAGGAGGGGGAGGGGGAGCTCCTCCTCCTCCTCCTCCTCCTCGTCATCCTGGAGGAAATACAAACCTTCACGCTCCAGGTTCCAGGAGGAGGAGGAGGAGGAGGAGGCGAAGCAGGAGGAGGAGCAGGAGGAGGAGAAGGAGGAGACGGAAGAGGAGGAGCTTGGTACGTTGGAAGGGGGAGAAGGCGAATGAGGAGAAGGAGGAGAAGGAGGAGAAGGAGGAGGAGACGAAGGGAGCGCGAAGCGCATGATTGAATGCATCGCAAAGCGCTCGAGAAACAAAACATCAATACAACGCTATGCGGGGCAGACATAACGCATTTATCTGTATTAAACTAAGAACGTATAGAAAACCGATGTTCGCAACGCATGCTTCTACAAACAATCAAACAGATAATACAACCAAACACTAACTAGAGCGCAACTTCCACAACTAGAACCACTCCAAACCTAACTTCCCCGTAGCTTACACGCTGTACAACAACCGCTTCAACAAACAAAACAAACAACTTACGTATATCCCACAACTTGCACCGCTCAAGTTATGTACGTTCGGGCAGATCAGGTTAAGATCTCGAAGATCAAGTTAAGATCTGGAAGATCAAGTTAATATGATCTACCACAACTTCCCCACAACTACCAGATCTAGTTATGAGCATCTCAGACATGTTGGTGCTCGCGCGCGTACTAAGGCGATCGCAGCGATCCCCCGTACCAGCCTTACCATTACCGGGGGGCCCAACACCCCCACCCCCACCCCATTGATCGGGACAGTCGAAACGGGTACGGAAAGTATGGCTACAAAGACCGACAGTAGTTCTTGTTCACTTTCATCCTGACTCTCTGTCGGTGTCACCGTGGACGGTGTCCATTTGAGACAAAAGGCCGCCTGTCCAACAGCGGCCGTTGTCGGTTTTGGACAACACTTGATGTTGAGCATTGTACACATTTTTCCGTACCCAGGTCGGGCGTCCAAACTGGAGTAACGACCGCTACCAGACATCAATCATTTCCCTTTGCTCTGCCTTTCTCCTCCCTGCCGCCAGGCCGGCATGCAGACCGAGATCGAGGCAGCGGATCTGCCCCTTTCCCGCGCGCATTTGTCCGTCGCGTTGTTCGTGTTGGAGGGGCCCAGGCGGGGGGTGACGGCAGTACCTCGGCGAAGGACCCGCAGTTGTATTACAGTTTTCCGTGTTGCTTCGAGCGATTTGGGGGGTGAGGTGGGGACGGTGACGCGGAGGAGGGAGGATGATGACGAGGGGGAGGAGGAGGAGGATGAGGAGGAGGAGGAGGAGGAGGAGGAGAGTGAACAAAGACGAACGAGGTGGAAGTGGGAGGAGGAGGACGACGACAAGGTGAACGCGTTGGGAGGAGGAGGAGGAGGAGGAGGATGAGGAGGAGGAGGAGGAGGAGGAGGGGGGGGAGGAGGAGGAGGAGGAGGAGGAGGAGGAGGAGGAGGAGGAGGAGGAGGAGGAGGAGGAGGAGGAGGAGGAGGAGGAGAGAGCACAATATTGTTTTGGGCGGGAGGAGGGGCGAGGAGGAGGTGGAAGAGGAAGAAGGAAGGAGGAGGAGGAGGCAGGATCGGAGAGAGGAGGCGGAGCATAATGAAACAGGATGCGAATGCCTTTGGAGACGGTGGGGGAGGTTGGGGTCGCCTGCGACGTGTGTGCGACCATATTCACCCTCGCGCGCAGGCGCTGCCAGGCTACACCGATGTGGTGCCCATGGTATTCTGCGGCTTGTTCCCGAGCATGCAATCGGAGTTCGAGGTGCCCGAGCCAGCCCGCACGGGGGGGACAGAGGGGGTTCTTGATGATAGGATGGAAAGGACAACCGGCGCGGAGGTAGAGAACAGTCCTGGTCTGGGAGGGGCTTAACCGCATGCCCGCGATACTAATGCATTCTTTCGATGCTCGTTTTGGGGACCTTCCTGGGGGCCACCTAATGGATCTGTTCGACTCAGGTTCGACTCAAGTTCGACTCAGGTTCGACTCAGGTTCGACTCAGATTCGACTCAGGTTCGACTCATGTTCGACTCAGGTTCGACTCAGGTTCGACGCAGCTTCGACGCACGAGTGGAGCGAGTGACTGCAGGAAGGTCCCCAGAATGAGCATCTAACATTCTCCCCTGAACTTCTGAGTCATGGTTACCCCTGGGGTACTTATATTTGGTAGGCGGGCGGAGCGGCGAGGCCGGACTTCATTACCACCAGGGAAAGTACGAAGCAAACATCGAATCAGATCAGCATGGTTATCCTGCCTTGCTATCATCATCAGCATGCTTTGTTCTCAGCATCATTCTCTCGTAGACCCCCATCATGGCACACCCCTCACACTGTTCGTGGCCCAGTGTTGTGACCTGGTGCGATTCTTACCATATCGTTATTCTCGTTTGTGTTCCCTCCTCGTCCTTCTCTTCTTTAGTTTTCCTTTTAGGCCTATTCCTTCTCTTCTCTGTCTCCTTCTCCTCTCCCGCCCCTTCTTCCTCCCTCCGCGCCCCAGCTGGTCCGTAGCCATTTTGGCTCAAGCCGTTTTGGCTCGGGCTGATCCAGGTGAAGCTCGAGCTTGTGCCCACGTATTTCGAAGCTGCCCGGGGGCAGGAGCCAATTTTGTCGACTCGCCACGACAGCGTGCGCCAGCTGTCATGGCATAGTGCTGGCACGGTCGCGTACGACGCTGTCGGTATGCGGGTGCGGGGAGGCTGCCGATTGGGCCTCGCGGATCGCCTGCCGCGGGTGCTCCAAGGCCGCCCCTCACTGCATCCAAGTGGCGGCGAAGGCGGCAGCAGCGTTGCCAGGCGGTCCGAGACGCATGCCGCAGGGCAAGTGGGCTGCAGGAGGCCCTGGCTCCAGCGATGTGCTGCTCAAGACGATTCGCGAACTGGAAGCCAAGGTCGCCGAGCTCTCTGTGTCGGAGAGTGCCGGCAAGCAGCCGCCCCGGAAGTCCCAGGCCCCCCGCGGGCCCAGGCCCTGGGGCCAAGGGGCTCTCGCCTTTGCCGACGTCGTGCAGTTCCTCAAAAGGCGAAGGTCTCGACACGGCAAGGGTGGAGGAGGCCAAGAAGAAAAAAGAGAAGTTGGCGGCTGTTCCCAAGGCCCCGCGGGCTCGCGCGGCACGTTGGAGGGTGCAGAACCTGCGGGCCAAAAACAGCAAGCTCGAGGGCCGCACGCAGTCTCCCTGCCAGCAGAGAGAGTCAATCGGGGTTGAGCTGATCGAGGTGGACTCCTCGTTGGTGGCGTACAGGGAGGAGCTGGCCAAGGCTGAGCAGACCCTGTTTCGCCTGCAAGCGGAGGAGACGGCCGTCCCGCTCGTGGCTGGCAACGCCGCCCTGGATGAGAGTGTCGCCAAGCTTCAGAAAGGCACGGCGGCCCTCGCGGCCCTCCAGCGGTTGGAGTCCGAGGCAGCGGCGGCCAAACGGGTGGCAACAGCAGCACCGGGGCCCGAGGGCGGTGGCGGCGGTGTTCCTCCTCCTGGCGGCGCACCTGCTGGGGCTAGCGGAGCCGAGGCCCCTGTCGACGACGACGACGACGACGACGACGACGACGACGACGACGACGACGACGACGACATGGAGTCGCTGGAGGTCGCAGAGTTCGCTGACAGGGAGGCTGCTCTGCGAGCGGCTGCAGAGGAGCTCAAGGCAGCCAAAGGAGCCACCCATGAGGGGGTTGAAGCAGCCAAGTGGAAGCACATGGACGCAGTGGCCGCCCTCGGAGCCAAGCGGGCCAGGAAGTCGCACGCTTAGCTCGCTGATCGGAAGGGGCATCATGTCCGACTTCTGGCAACAGAACTTGGTGGACGTTGAGTGGGAGGGCGTCGGCTTCTCTGTCCCAGCGGTCCGCCGTGAGCTGACCCTCGATTCGCTGCTGTTCCGCGGCTTGCATTCGAAGTTGCAGGCGCCGCCCGAGGGGGCTTCGGGGCCGACGGCCGCCGCGGGCCTTCTGGGCCCGAGGGCCAACGGCCCGATGGGCAGGGGGGGCTGGGATTCAGCCCCAGGGGGCCACACACCCCTGCCCTCGTGTGCTTCCTCGGCCTTGGCGTCCGCAGCAACTGGGGCGCTATCAGGTCCAGTTGCGCAGCGGCCTGTGTCACGTCCCGCCAAGGAGGTTTGGGCCACCCGTTTGCGTGGACCTTGCGAGACCCGCTCGCCCGGCGGGCCCCCAGCCCGAGAGGGAGGTTCGAGTTCTCGGCGGGCTGGATCGCTAAAGGAGACAGGGGCGCAGGCCACAGGCGCGTCGGCGGCGCCGTGGACGGCTGCGGCCGTGAGGGGGTCGCGCACGGCCTTCGGGGCGACGCCGACCTCGGCTGCGGCTGCGGGAGACGCCCTGCTTGCGCGTCGGGTGCGTGCCAAAGTTGACCGTGAGTGCAAGAGGTGGCTTTTCTGGACGGCCAACGCCAACTCGCGGTTCTTGTTGGAGGCGGCCATCGACTGGCAGCTCAGCTTGAGGGACGAGAGCAAGCCGCGCGAGGTCTTAGGCCAGGAGCACCGCGTCAAGGACGGCGAGCGGATCCGCTCGGCGTCGCCATGGCTCGCAGGACGCGGGCTCCATGGCGCCTTCGGCCAGGCTCGCAGCGCGAGTCCTGCCCCCGTGAGAGCTCTGGTGGCGCAGTGACAGCCCTCGCCTCGCACGCGTCGTTCGTCGGGGTCGGCCCGGGCAAGCTCGGGGTCGGGCCGCGCAATGGGCGCCGCCTGAAGATTGTCGAAGCCAACGTGGTCATGCCGCGCGGCATGTATGTCATCTCGCTGCATGATCACGCGCTTCCGTTGGAGTGGCGGGTCTTCGGGGAGTGGCTAGGCGATCTGGGCAGAGCGTTGCGCAGGCCAGCGATCCATGGGCGGGGGCTGGAACGCCGCCCCTGAGGAGACCCCCCATTGCTAGGTGGTGTCATCTCCTGAAGGCCGCGCTCATTGCCCCCGCTGGGCCCACCTGCTTTGCGTCGGAGGCAGGGAGCAGGCTGAACTTCTTCGCGGCGAGATAGGGCTTGAGGCGTGCGTCTCAGCCGCGCGGGCGCCCCACGGCCCCCCGACGTCCCCGCGCGCGACTGCATCTCTGAGGCCGCGGGGTCCGTCGCGGGTCACCCCTATGGCAGGCAGGGCGACACCTCAACTTTGCGGCAGGCCAGAGGGCTTCTCTCGTAGAGTGGCCTCCTTGGGCGAGTCTATGCGCAAGGCTTCCTTGGCGGAGCATGGCGCCGCGAGGATGCGCGCGCGGCGATCTCCCCCCTCCCCCCAATCCGTCGACGCGCTCAAAGGAGGCGCGAAGCTCAGGGGGGGGGGGAGTCGGAGTCGCGCGATGGCATGGGAGTCGCCCCGCCCAACCACCTGCCCCCGTCTTCGCCTCTCCCCCGTGTTCTCGAGAGGCCCTCCCGGCGGCGTTCTCGAGAGGCAGACCGGGGCGGGGCCTCGACCGTCCCGGAGGAGGCCGAGGGGGGGGCTGGGAGCCCGCGCTCGCCGCGAAGCTGGGCCGTAGCGGGGTGGGCTGGATGCTCGAGGACGCCCCCTCCCGCTGCAGGAGTCGAGCCCTCAGAGTGTACAGCTCCAGGCCGGCGCCAGCTCGCAAAAAATCCCGCGCCGGTCCTTCGGGGCGCAGCCGCGGGTGCAGTCGCCATCTGCTTTTCGCGGAGTTTCGGTTGCGCGAACCCCGAGCCCGTCCAGGTGGACGTTGCCCCAGGTTCTATCGCCGCGGCTTTTGCGGACGCCGCGGGCCGCCGCGCGGGCGGCCAGGCGGGTCGCGAGAGCCAGGCAGGCAGCGGCGCGCGGCTCGGATCCCATCTCGGCTCAGCTCGTCAGCGAGCCTGACGCGGTGGACCTCTCCTCGTTCTCTCGGGGGTCGGCCCCCCCCTCGGCCTCTGTTGCCACCCGATCCGGTGCGTCGTCGAGGTGGGCGGCGAGGAGCTCGACGCCCTGCGCGGCAACGTGGGTTCTGCGGCGCAGGGGGCGGCGATCGCGGCCGTCGAGGCCGATTTGGACGAGTGGAAGGAGCGGGCCCAGAGCTCGGCCAGGCACGGCGGTCGCCAGGCCCATCGCTTCCTCAAAGAGACGCCTCGGGCGCGAGGTCCGCGCTCTTCTGCAGGATGGCCGCCTCAGGGCGACGCGGCTGTCTCCGCCGCGACGCAGACGCCGCCCACCTAATCCGAAGAAGCAATTAAGAACCCCCCCGGGGACATCTTAACACCGCAATGTTATTCCATATTCCGATGGGCCATTTTCGCCGAACGGCATCTTTAGCACCCGGCAAAAAAATGATGATGTGAAGGACGAGGATGACGAGAAGAAGGAGCAAGGGCGAGGAGGAGGAGAAGGAGGAGGAGCAGCGGCAGCAGCAGATGCAGACGGGAAGGAGGCTGTCGCAGAGATGCAGGCTGCGGCTGCGCAGTCCGAGGCTCTCCCACGGAGAGCCGGAGACTCGGAGGAGGGCGAGCGGAGACAGCGGCTGTTGGCCTTCGGGGGGGGCCCTCGCCGCCGCGGCTGGAGGCAGCTCGGACAATTGGTGCGATCGGACCCCGGGGGGGGGGAGGGGAGGAGGAGGAGGAGGAGGAGGAGGAGGAGGAGGAGGAGGAGGAGGAGGAGGAGGAGGAGGGGGTCTTCTAGGCCTCCCGGATGGTGTGAGCGCAGATGGGGTCGGAGGATCGCGACCCATCGCCGAGGAATCGGCGATGCGGCTCGACGGAGGAGCCCGACCTTCTCCACGCGGGTGCGCCGCTGCATCGCAATACCGACGACGCATCGGTGGTGCGGCGCGACCCTCCGGCCTCATCGGCTCCGGCCCCATCGGGGATGCCTCGAGGTCCAGGGACCGGTGCCGAGCTGCCGTCGTCTCAGCTCGCCCTGCTCCGAGACAGGGCGCACCCCAGAGACAGCCTCGGGGAGCTGCGGGGAAGAGGAAGGACAGCACCGTGAAGCTGCCACAGCAAGAAGGACCAGCTGCTGCAAAAAATCAGCGAGAACCTTGCAAGATAGCTATGCCAAGGAAGCTGCAGCACAGGGCCGAAGTCGCACTCGCCCACATGTGCCCTGCTTCGCCGACTCGGAGAGCTGCACGAAACGCGCGCGGCCACGAGAAGGCGCACGTAGCCCGGGGCCCAGCCGAGAACGAGATTGCTGCGGACAGGGCTCGAGCGGGTGTTGAAGAGGGAGGGAGAGAGGGAACGATGAATTGGGGCAGGGGAAGGGGAGGGGTCACGCAGGAGGACGGAGGAAGAAGAGGATGAAGCAAGGGAGGGAGGAAGGGGAAGGGGGAGGAGAAGAGTGTTGCCGCTGCGGACAGCGTCTGGACTTGCCTGAGACAAGGTGGGTGATGCCGTGGCCTCCTAGGTCTGCTGGTTGCTGCATGCATGAGTAGAAGTTGGAGGGAGGAGGGAACAGGGAGAATGCGTTGGAGGAGGACCTAGCTGTCAGGGTGGTGAGGATGAGGTAGGAGGTTGAAAAGGACGAACTAGGAGGAGACGACCGCACGTGCACCTCTTACTGTTCGTCCGTCATGATTCAGTCGTGCACAGGCCATCTCGAGAGTTCTAACCAGCACTCGCACGGCGGGTTGTGCGTGTTGGACCACCAGAGTTCGGATCAGCATTCTTTGCTGCTCGTTTTCATCTCTTGGCCAGCCTATCGTGAGCACCATCATGTGCAGAGGTGGTGCTGCCCACTACTGCGTGCCAACCGCACGGTGGCAAATCTACCGACCTGCTTTGCCCAGTGCTTGCTGCCGCCTCAGCGCATTCTGCCTTACAGCATTGTCACTGCGCGTTCTCGCCGTGGGGTCCGCGGTGTGCCCTCTCTGTGGGCGAATCACTTCAGGTTCGGCCGCCCGGGCGCGAAGGTGACCGCGCTCACGCGCATCGCGTCCTGCGCCGGAGGAGCGTCCTTCTCCAGGGCGGTTGCCCAGAGGAGTGCGAAGATGCGGTCGAGCACAGGATCAAGATTTCTACTCCCGGAAAGTTGGGCCAACGATTCTTGGACAATTGGCTGGAAAGCTGGCCCAGGTGCTTGTGCACTTTCGCCCCTCCAGCGTGAACAAGGGAGTCGGCCCAGGTTTGTTTAATGGGACTTTCAGAAACTGGGCCCAGGTTCTATGAATCATGATTTCCTTGACCTTGTGTTCGGCTGGAATCGCCGTCGCGCATCGCCAGGCGCGATACGCGAAGTTACGTGGATCAGATGCACTTCTCGTCTCTCTCCTGCATCCCTGTCCTTCCTCCTGGGTGAGGAGGAGGAGGACCACCTCGGACCCTGGTCCCGCGTAGGCGCTCAGGACCGCCTTCGAGCGCTTGTCCCTGAACGACGCGGCCCTCAAGTTCGACCCCGAGAACTCCTCCGCTCTCGGCCTAGGCGATCCCTGCGGTGCACCTCCAAGAGAGCGACCGTCTTTCTCCCATGTCGAACCGAGAGGGCCTGTGGAACGCATGTTTCGGACCGTGCAGATTGTCGCGGTTCGAATGAGAGAGAGAGGAAACAAAAAAAGAGAGATGAAGAGAGAGAGAGAGAGAGAGAAAGAGAGACAGAGACAGCGTCAGAGACATAACATTCCGAACATATCCTCCTTCCACGGGCCAGATCGGAAATGCCCTCAGGTGATAGTCGCGCTTCTTCAGGTCGCGCCGCAGTGGCGCGAATCTAACCGTGATTCGCGCTTCGCGGTGTGGGCGGGAGAGATGTCCTCCTCCAAGAGGGCGCGGGAGAGCGAAGATGCATACGCTTCACTCTCCGCGCATCGCGAGGCACGAGGGCCGGATGCTCTGCTTCTCTGGTCGTCGGGGAAGGAGCGAGAGCGAAGACATATAACAGTGGGGATGGGCGACGGAGGGCTCCTGGTTCTCCGAGCTGCGGGCGAGGAGGCGAATCCGGCCGCCAGAGGCTGCTGGAAGCCCTCGAGGGCGAGATCGCCGAACGCTCCGAAGCACGATGGTCTTGAGTTGGGGGTGTGGGGCCGAACGAAAGGGTGGGATAGGGAAAGGGGGGTTTGCGAAATCTGCTGCATGCAGCTGTTTCAGCCCCACCGAGGGGCCCATTCCTCGATACATGGCCGCCTCCCGGCGCCGGGAAGCGCCGGGAAAATCAGCTACGTGAGCTGATTCTCAAACCCCCCCTTTGCCATCCCCAACTTTCGCCCGGCCCGATCCGAAGCACGATGGTCTTGAGTTGGGCTTGGTTTACAGTTGTTTCCGGTTGGCTGGCGGGTGGGCTGGATGGCGTGAGGAATGTTTCGGAGTGGCCAAAAGGGTACATCAAGTTGGGACTCGAACACCCCTCTGTAGGCTACGGGGGCGGCGGAGACAGTTGCTTTCGGCCTGTCCGGCCACCGTGCCTGGGTCTTGCACAAGAGGCCTTTTGGATGTTTTCTGGGTCTCTTCAGGACCTCATGGAAGCCTCGTTGAGATTTCTTGGGGGGGGGCCTCTTGAAGGCCTCCTGGGGAACTTCTGTGACCTTTTGTAAGGCCTCTGGGGGCCTGTTAGGGGCCTGCTGGCTGTCTCGTGGGCCTTTGGGGGGAACTCGAACTGCCTTTCGGGACTCTTCAATGTGGCGCTCACGTTTTGCGCATGAAGCGTGCACAGTCTGAAGACAATGGCGACCATGAACAATTGGTGAATCAAGCTTTGCGCCACGACATCAAGGCATGCCCTCCGAGGTCAAGAGGCACTACTGCTTACTCACATCTACGATGATTGTACCTCCATTCAGTTGAAACCCGATGCCATCCGATGTAGGACCGCACCTCTTGTACGGGCTAGATCATTCTTGAGATAGTGGCTGTCTCTGTCCCATTTCGCAAGTAGTTGTCCATTTGAGCAGTGACTCTTCAAGTCGTAACCGCATCCGGCAATGAAGACCCCCCCTCTCTGGCGAAAGTATTACGCACCTGGCACTCCAGAAGCTTTACCCTGGCACCTCGCACCTTTATGTGAACGCAGACAAGTCTGCTCGCCGAAACAAGCAAACCCCCTGAGACATTCCCGCAATATGGTCTCCTTGTGGTTCTGAAACGAGCGCCTCGCCTGAGACATCCTCAGAAACTGCTCTGGACGCAGACGAGACTGCGTCAGGTGGTCGGTCTGAGCGAGAACTGGAGTGGCCGCGCGTCTTTCCAGCGCTCGGCCTTCGGGGCGCCCCAGCAAGGGGGAGAGCCCAGCTTTGAGAAGGAATTGTCCGTGCCTACGATGGGGGGCGAATAATTTTGGCGGTGCGGGTGCTAAGGTAACGCGCCGTGCGTGGCGGGGCGATATCCTCGGATGCACTACCCCACACGACGGCCAGGAAAAAAACATGTCTCAGTAGGGGTTGCAATAAAAATCGTATAGGACAAGTATGATGAAGAAAATGAGGAAAAGGGAGGGAGGGGGGAAAGAAGCAGGGGAGCCCGTCTGTTTTCGGATGTGTATTATGATGATCCTTATTATTATTTGTATTAGTTTTATTATGATGATTGTTAGTATTATTTTTATTTGTGTTTGTCTTACTATTGGTCTGAGTTTGTTATTTTGTCTTGTTTGATAAGCTGTCGTAATTATTTTGGGCGGGTGCGGTGCTAAGATAACGTGCCGTGCCTGGCGGGGGTGATATCCTCGGATGCACTACCCCACACGACGGCCGGGAAACAACAATTTGTTCAACAGTGGTGGTGACTCAAGTCGCATAGGACAAGGATGATGCAGAGAATGGGAAAAAGCTCGGATGAGTATGCTTATCATTCTTATTATCAGTGCTAGTTTTATTAGTATTCGGATTATTAGTACTCTTGGTATCATTATTACTCTCATTGTTACTCTTATTCTTATTATTAGTATTATTGCCCCTCCTACTCTTATGATTTTATCATTATTTGATCTAATACTATTATTATCACTCACATTTCTCTCTTGTTTTTATTATTAGTCCAATTCCAAATGGCATGGGATACCACCCGAGATGGGGGGCGGGAATTATGTTCGCTTCATTTGCGCGGTGCTAATCATATCGTTCTGCGAAAACCGCCCCCCTGATTTTTTTAACTACTGTGCGGTGCTCATGATAACCCCGGGGGGGTCCTTAAGGGCTTGATGAGGTTATTCTCGCGGCCTGCAACAAGTTAGGTCTAACATTCGGGGCGAACGTGGCACATATTCGCAGTGGGTTGGTCCGCGCTTGGACCTGAAATTTGCGCCCTTCGTTGTACTGCCTTACGCTCTGTTGGGTGACGCACTCGACGTCAGATGTTCCATGCTTCAGTGCTGAGCTCTGCACGCAGGCAGCCTCCTGCCCACAACCTCGGCGAGAGGACGCGTGCGACGCCAGAACTAGGGCGACGAGATCTATACATATCCACTGCTCCTGGCCAGGCCCATCCTGAACCCAGGAGCTGTGTATACGCCCTCCTGGCCAAACCAGGAGGGCGTGGCGTATACACAGCTGCTGTGTTGAGGATGGGCCTGGCCAGGGAGCAGTGGATATGTATAGATCTCGTCGCCCTAAGAACGGCACCGCACGAGGCGCGCAGCGCCGCGCTCGCCTGGCCCTCCTCGGCACCTCCTCCCGACGGCGCGTGCTGCCGCCCCGAGGGGGCGCGCCGCGGTCGGCCCGCCGCCTGCCCGCCCCTCGGAGACCTCCGCCCCCGGGGGGCCCGGCCCGCGCGGCGCGCCGCGCGCAGGCTTCCGCTGCGGCTTCCTCGGCATGCTGCACATGGAGGCCGCCGCCGGCGGAGCGGGGGGTTCGGAAGTCGGGAGCCTCGAGACGGGGGGCAGTGCAAACGGAGGTCAGCCAGAGCGCCCCGACCTTGCAGGATCCTGCAGGGCCAGGGTCGCATTGACCCGGGTTTGGGTGCAGGACCCTGCAGGATCTTGCAGGATCCTTCGCATTGACCCGGGTTTGGGTGCAGGATTTTGCAGGACTCTGCAAGGCTTTTCTCCCCCAATCCCCGAGCTTCGCCGGAAAAGCATGACCTCTCAGAAAAAGAGGGAACCCCTGGGATACACCCCAAGGAGGCTACTCGGACGCACCACTATCGAGGATGAACGCCCCCCAATCGTATATCCCAGGGTTGGGGCTCAAATTTCTGCTTCATGCGAAAACCCCACGATGTCTGGGATAGGGGTCGACATATGCCCTGTTAGGGGGTTCGGAAGGCCGGCTGGCCGGTGTGCCGTCGGCGGTCCAATCGGGGCTGGACATGAACCCCCCACAGTGACACGTCGATTGGTGAACTGTCCGTGTTCGGTTCTCGAGAGGGCGCCGTGGCCGTTCTTTTCCAGGCTTGCGCCCGCCAGGTTTGGGCCTCAGGTCGTTTTCACTAGACCACGTTATACTAAAGGGGGGTCTGTCCGTCCCCGAGTCCAAGGATTCAGGAGCGAAAGAAGGACGTGCATGCACATGAATCCACGCTGGTTTCGAGAGCACGCACTGCACAAATGTTCGTATGACGCGGCCGGTCTCGCGGATCGAGGGGCCGTGTTCATGTACATAGCTGGGCGCGTACGTCCTTTGTGGGCTCCCTAAGGATGGGGCCCCAAGGGGTGGGGATCCAAGGCTAGGAAGGGATCCAGGGGAGGAGTTGCGCCGTTCGAGGCACCTCGTCCGCAGGACCCCATCCCTCAGGGCTCCATCTTTGAGACACAGATTCTGGAGGACCTACGGGAGGAATGGGTGCGAAGATTGACTGCAGTGCAGGTCTGACGGACCGCGTGGCTCAGCCCAGCGAAGAGTTTCTTTGTCACAGTTTCGGAGGTAGCATTTCGAATGTGTATGAATCAGAGGGTGAAAGAAGGGGTCCGCAACAGGGGGTCTGCAATGGGGTTGAATGGCCCATGTATGCTCAATATATTGCTAATGTGTATGATCGGGTATGATTGACATCCACTGTTGACGGTCATAAGGGCCAGTCGTTCGTGCCCGCGCGTTGCCCGCGCGGGCAGACGCGCCGTCCATCCATCATCGTTCATGCGTGCGGGCGTTCTTGCATATCGCGCGTGGGGCGGTGAAGTGGAGTGCAAGTGGGTCTTGATTGTTCGACTGATGATCGCGTATGTTCCCGAACGATGTCTTGCCGGCCCCTCAACAGATTTGGAACGGGTCCCGCCATTCCCCCAAAATGTGAATTCACATGTTCATTTCCCCCCAAAAATGAAAACCAGACTCTTTTGTCCCAAAATGTGAATTCACATTCTGGCCCCCGCATGAAGATTCCCATACAACATTTCAAAATGTCGATTTCACATGTTCCTTTTTTCTCCCACGTGTGAATGTACATTATCCTTTTTCCCAAAAGGAGAATTCACAGTTCGCTTTTTTCCCACAGTTTGACTTCACGTTTTGCCCTGGCTCTCAAGATCTCCAGAACCGATGCGCAGTGGTCCGCATGTCAGATTGGCTGGGCAGATTTTGACGCCCACATCGCCGCCTTTGTTACTTGGGATGTGTTCAATGTGTCCTGTTTGTTTGAACGCCTCACCTGGCGACACCACAACGGCCTGTCCCACCTCCAAAATATGCATTTAGATGTGGAGGTCGGGCGCAGGGTCCCGGCAATGGTGGCTCTATGGGCCAATGCATGGGCGATGCATCCTTGCCTGCTGTGCCCGGCGGGGGAACCGATTGAAGCTCCCCGCCTGCACTCCTGCGCGAGACTTGAAGGTAAGCGCAGCAAGGAGGCGGGGTACTGGGGAGAGGGGACCAAGTCAACGTGCGCTGATGGCGCAAGAAGAAAAAATGAGGGCGCCGTGCCTACACCATGTCTGAAATCACCCAGCATGTGAGCAAACGTCGTGGATAATAAGAACAATGCAAACAACTCGTGGCCGTTACATATTATAAATTACAAATTGGGAGCACGAGCCAGCATACACAGATATGTATATGTGTATACGAATATGTATGTGCGTATGCATACATGCATGCATGTATGCATGTACGTACGTACGTACGGGCGTAGGTATGCATGGATGTACGTGCGTACGCATGCATGTATGGATTGTGTGTTTGTTTATGTTTATTTGTGTATGCGTATGGGAGTATGTATGTGTGTATGTATGTGTGGTTGCATGTGTGTTTGTATGTATGTATGCATACACGCGTGCATGCACGTATGTGTATGTGAATGGGTGTGTGTGTGTGTGCGTCGGTATGCATGCACAAACCCATGCCTGTTTGTATGTGTGTACGCAAATGTGTAAATGTGTATGTGTGTATGTAACTACGCGAATATGTGAACGGATACGTGGTATGAGTGTATGTACGCATGTATGTATGTATGTATGTATGTATGTATGTATGTATGTATGTATTTATGTGCATATGTGTATGCGTGTATGTGAGTACGTGTGTACGTGTGGATTTGTGGATGTGTGTATGTATGTGTATATGCGTGGTTGTATGTATGTTATGCATGTATGCTTGTGCGTATGCATGTATGGTATTTGTATGTGTGTACGCTTGCATGTGTGCATGTATGTATGTATGTATGTATGTATGTATGTGTATGTGTATGTATGCATGTGAGGAAGTAGGCATGTATGTATGATGTGTATATATGATTATGCGGCTATGTCTAAACATAAACATGGCCATGCGTATTCACACATGTGTATATGCACGCATGTGTAATATATATATATATATATATATATATAGGGTCCGGGGCCCCCCGAAGTGCACTGATTTATCTTCCGGCCGTTTGGGGTCTAGCGCGGCGCCAGTTTACGTCAAAGGGTGCCGAGAGACGTCCAAGAGGGCGCCAAGATGGCCCAGGAACGCTCAAAGAGATTCCAACACCGCACAGGAGCGTTTCAAAATTGATCCAACATGGCTTGAAGACAGCCCAGGAGGGCTTCAAGACGGCCAATGTGCTTCCAAAAGGACTCCGACGAGGCACTCAGGAGGCGAAACAAGTTTGTTAGTTCGATGGTTTTGAAGGTTTTTTGGGTGTTCTCGCTGTTTCGTGCTTCCAACGTTCCAAGACAGCCTACGAGGCCTCAGAAATCAGCTCAACACGGCCCAAGAGGCACCCAAAGAAGGCGCCACGACGGCGCAAGAGAGCCCCAAGACGGCCCAAGAGCGCCCTAAGACGGCCCACGAGGTGCCCAAGATCGCCCAAGAGAGCACCAAGACGGCCCCAAGAGGGGCCCAAGAGGGGCAACACGAACCGACAATTCGAGCCTTCCGCCCCAAGAGGCCTCCAGGAGGCCCCAAGAGGCCCCCAACAGAGCCCAAGAGGCCCCCCAGAGGCCCCCTAGAATCCCCACGAGACCCCAAAAAGTTTCACAATGAGGCCCCAAGAGCACCCCAAACGGCCCCCAAGAGGCCTCCAAAACAGACCGGTGCATAGCACAGGACCGCGTAACCTATCGTGGCAGCGCAGCGTTGCATGACATGGCACGGCACAGCACGACAGAGCCAACCGTGTCAGCGCATATCTGTGTATGGTTCAGCATGCTATATCATTGCATTACATAGCAATGTCTAGCTGCGCCTAGCACTGCAAGTCACGACGTAACATTGCCTAGCATGGCATTGCATCTCATGACACATCGTGGCGTACTACGGCATTCCAATGCACATAAATAAATCGAGCAGCATCGTGCTGCTCTGCGCAACAGCAAATCGAAGTCATGCAAATCTCACACCCCCGTTGTTGTTGTTCTTACTGTCGTTTTTTGTTTATTTTAGCCTAGCAGCTCATAACATGACATTGCATTGCATTGCATTGTATAGCATTGTATTTCGTGTCTATGCATACCATGTAACGCGGCAGCATCGCTCTTCATAGGAAATGTAGCACGGTATGGTTCAGCGTACCATCCCATATATTATCATAGCATTTCACAGCACAGCATGGCATGGCATGCAATGCGCACTGTAGAGTGTATCGTGTTCTTGCATTGCATACTGCATAGTGGCATTGCACTTATTAGCGTAGCACGGTGTACCAGGGCGTTCCATAGCATAGTGCAACATGGCGCTGTAGCGCTGCATGTCTCTTGGCCCATAGCGTGGCAACAGATCACGGGTCGACCGGTCGATGAGAGTGGAGGAGAAGGAATGAGCAAGGGGCAGGAGGAAGCAGAGAATGTTGACCTCATCATTTATGACCAGTTTGTTGCCTCAAGGTGGCCAGGATTCGATCAGTTAGAGCCTAAGTTCGCGCGAAGCGCGCGATGGTTCTAGTATGCACAGTTATATATGTTTATTTATAGATGCATATATGCATGCACTTGCATATGCGAGTAGCAGCAGCAATGTCTCATTCATGACACATTGTAGATGCAGGCGTTAGATGTCGCGGCGGAGGAGGAGGAAGGGGAGGGGAAGTAGGGAGGCGGATGACGAGGAGGAGGAGGAGGAGGAGGGGAGGAGGAAGGAGGAGGGATAACGTGATGAGAAGATGGAAGGAGGAGGAGGAGGAGGGGAGAGGAGGAGGAGGAGGAGGAGGAGGAGGGGGAGGGGGAGGGGGGAGGGGAGGAGGGGAGGGGGAGGGGGAGGAGGAGGGAGGAGGGAGGGAGGGAGGAGGAGGGAGGAGAGGAGGAGGAGAGGAGGGGGAGAGGAGGAGGAGGGAGGAGGGAGGAGGGAGGAGGGAGGAGAGGAGGAGGGAGGAGGGAGGAGGGAGGGAGGAGAGGAGGGAGGGAGGAGGGAGGAGGGGGGGAGGAGGATGGGGGGGAGGAGGAGAGGAGGGGAGGGGAGGAGGAGGGAGGAGGAGG